CACATTGGAGTTCTGAGTCTGGTCCCAGCTTTGTTTCCGAGTCCAGCAATCTGCTACTACGCACTTTGGGACACACCAGATTATAGCTCTCTGATCCCGACGTGGGAGACCCAGTCTATTTCCCACTCATGGTTTCCAGCCCTGACTCTGGCTCAAATATTATTTCACATATTTGGGAACAGAACAGGTGGATGTAAGATCTCTCCCCTGGTCTAATACATAAGAATTGTAAAATTAGCAAAAACAAGATCTATACCAGTTGCCGGAGCCTCCTTGCATTTCACTGTATCAAGTTGCCTTTGATCGGATGTCAAATCAAATGAAAATGATCTCCACATGGTGGGGACTTCTTAGGCCTTTGAAAGAGCAGGTCCACGGAGCTATTTTCAAAATCCTGGAATGCCTGGGTTCAGGCAGAACCTCCCTGCCATCTGAGCTCCCTCGCAGTGCAGCCTGGGTACCCTCTAGTGGAAGTTTCCTGCATTCACACAGCTTCCCTGGTTTGTGCCCCAAAGAGCTGGGAGGGAAGCCCTTCCTCAGCCCCTGGAGAGCGAGCTGAAGAATGGGCAGCTGCAGACTGCAGGCTTGGATGTCACAGTCCCTGCGGGCAGACTGGAAAGAACCTGTGACAAAGAAGTGGCTCCCAGGGGACCCCACCACCACCAAAGAGTTATTGTCCAAACATAAATGAGTTCAGCCTTTGTGAGTCGTTGATAGGAGCTCAACACCCATCACAAGGGACTGTGGAATTTTGGGACTCTGGAAAGATACTTTTCATTTTATTTCCACTTGTTTTATTCATTAGAAAGGCAGAGAGAGAGAGAGAGAGAGAGAGAGAGAGAGAGAGAGGAGAGAGAGAGACACGGGGTGAGGGGAAAGGGGAAGAGAAATCTTCCACCCATTGGTTCACTTTTTTAAATGCCTGCAACAGCCATGGCTGGGCCAAGCCAAGTTCAGGATCCTAGAACTCAGTCCAGGTCTCCCATGCAGGTGCAAAGACTCAATTACTTAGCCATCAGCACTGCCACTCAGGGAAGCAGAACAGCTAGAACTGCACATCCCAAGTGGTGTCTTAATTACGGTGTCCAACACTTGCCCTGAGATGCTTTTTTTTTTCCATTGCAAAGTTGGATATACAGAAAGGAGGAGAGACAGAGAAGAAAATCTTCCATCCAATGATTCACTCCCCAAGTGGCTGCAATGGCTGGAGATAAGCCAATCCGAAGCCAGGAGCCTGGATGCAGGGTCCCAAGGCTTTGGGCCATCCTCGACTGCTTTCCCTGGCCACAGGCAGGATGCTGAATGGGATATGGGGCTGCCGGGATTGGAACCAACGTCCATATGGGATCCTGGTGTGTTCAAGGTGAGGTCTTTAGCCCCTAGGCCATCGCACTGGGACCACCCCAGAGATACTTTTATTTATTGAAGAAAAGTACTGATCAGAGAGATGAAGTCATTTGCCTAAGGCCACAGAGCAAATCAACATCAGCAAGGAGGAGACTAGACACTGTGTCTCCTGCACCCCAGCGTGGAGCTCTCCCTTCTGGATCACATTCCTTGATTGTCGGTTGATGGATTTTTGTCTTCAGTTGGAGTAACCATGAGGATGAGAGCTGCAGGTATCATCGGGGAATTGTTTTTGCATTCATCTGCTCGCACATCAAGCACTTTTCATTCTTTCACCCAACGCATTTAATGAGAACCTGTTTTTGCCAAATGCAACCCTCAAGCCTTGCTTTTCAAGCTGGTGGGCCTTTTCACCGCGTATCCCTGCATAGAAGGGGCTCCCAGGCTTCGGGAACTCCACGCCCACAACCCTTTAGGGGTGCTCTGCAAGCTGGTTCCCCCTCTTCCCAGGACTGAGGTGTTGAATTGTTTTCTTTCCTCCCCCTCCGACCCTGCGCACTGACCTGCAGAGGTAATCCCTGGGAATGGAAGTGGGTTAGAACGAGATTACTCTGATCCAAGGGCTTTGCTCTCTCCTCCCTAAATGTAGTTGGAGGGTGGAGATGTGCAGTCTGAAATTCCCTTCCAGGTTTTTTGTTTGATCTAGCCAGCTGGGTTGAAAGTGGAGAAAGAAGGGGCAAGGGATTAATTCTGGACCTTGCCGGATCAGTGGTTGGCCATGGGCTTCTTTTCCTGCTGAGCCAGGTTAAGTAATATCTCTTCCTAAACATACCTTTAAAAGGAGGAATCTAGGGCAGGCAGGAAGAGGTAAAGGAAAAGGCTTTGTCCCTAGCCACGGGGAGCGGGGGGTGAGTGGACAGATGGATAATAAGAAAGAGGGGAATCTAAGAAAATAAAGTCATGCCGCATCAGAATAAGGAATCATTTTGTGGCTTGGAGAGAACTTGACTTTGGGTGGTCTTGGCTTCTTCAGAGGTGAGAACAGCTCTTTTACAGGAATAGAAAGCAGACTCTCAGGGCCTCCTGAGGGCTGCCAGCTCCTATCCCAGTTAGCTCTCTTGCTTCAGGGACACTGTGGCCCCTGGGGACATAGATGTTATCTAGTCCAACAAATAGAACAGATATCAGGATTCTGTTAGGCTCCATAGATCACTTCCCAGACTATCATGAGACTTAAAAGCAAAGGTTCTGGCTATCCAGAGTGGGGCTCTGTATTAACTCAATGAGTTAATAGCAATTCTGTGAGTTGTGGGTACATAATTAATCACACACACACACACACACACACACACACACACACACACACATCCACAGGTGAGAGAAAGAACGGTGCTAACACTCTTCAGAAGGAGCGGCTGGTATTGTGACACACTGGCATAATGGGCTAAATCATGTTCCAGGTGTTCCCTTTTTTGTTTATTTATTTGTTTTTTTAAAGTAAGATATACAGAGAGGAGGAGAGCTAGAGAGATCTTCTGTCATGTTAGAACTGCTGCCCATATGGGATCCCAGCGTATTCAAGGTGATGACTTTAGCTACTCGGCTATAGTGCCAGTTCCAGGACTTGACTCTTAATGATATCTGGTAATGGGAGGAAAAGAAAATGCAGGTATATCCCAATGCTCACAAGGAGGCCATGTGAACATTTCTACAGAAGAAGAAGGAAACCCAAGAACCCCCTGTATTTGGAAAAGTAGGAAATCAATTTTAACTTCTGTTTCATCATGGTTCACCTTGCATTCCCCTCTATTGACTGAAAGGTACCCACTTGTGTGTCTACAAGGTTGCAGGAATATTCCATGCAATGCTGAGCCCCTAATCTTCTATTTCTTCCTCAGAGTGCACTGCGAGTTATCTTTTTTTTTTTTTCTTTTTAAGATCTATTTTTATTGAAAAGTCAGATATATAAAGAGGACAGAGAGGAGTATCTTCCGTCCACTGATTCACTCCTCAAGTGGCCACAACAGCTGGAGCCGAGGTGATCCCAAGTCAGGAGCCAGGAACTTCTTTCAAGTCTTCCACACCAGACCAGGGTCCCAAGGCTTTGGGCCATCCTCTACTGTTTTTCCAGGTCACAAGTAGGGAGCTAGATGATAATTGGAGGAGTTGGGACATTAACCGGTGCCCATATGGGATCCTGACACATGCAAGGCGGTGACTTTAGCCACTGTGTTGGGCCCAGAAGTCAAGCATTAAGATAAAGAATGTGTGGGCCCAGCGATGTGGCCTAGCGGCTAAAGACCTCGCCTTGAACGCACTGGGATCCCATATGGGTCCCGGTTCTAATCCTGGCAGCTCCACTTCCCATCCAGCTCCCTGCTTGTGGCCTGGGAAAGCAGTCGAGGATGGCCTAGTGCCTTGAGACCCTGCACCCGTGTGGGAGACCTGGAAGAGGTTCCTGGTTCCCGGCTTCGGACCGGAACAGCACCGGCTGTTGTGGTCACTTGGGGAGTGAATAATCGGACAGAAGATCTTCCTCTTTGTCTCTCCTTCTCTCTGTAAATCTGACTTTGCAATAAAAAAATAAATAAATCTTAAAAAAAAAAAAAAAGACAAAGAATGTGATCCCCAAACCCAAAAGTGACTTTTCTCATTTCCATGAACAGTCCCTGGCACTTTGCTTCAACCTTCACAGCAGTAGGACTGCAGTCTGAAAGTGCTTCCATGCACAGATCCCAGCTCCCATTCACTTGTGTAGATGGAGCCATCAATAATATCGGACAGAATAAGATAACAACCAATCAATAAGCACGGAAAATATTTGTCATTCAGTAACATTTCTAGGACTGGAATTTCCAGGAAGATGCCCACATGGGGCTCCTTTAACAGCCAAACGCCAAGCAGCACACTGCAGTACCCTGTTTGATTACAATCCCAGTTCTGCCAAAAAAAAAAAAAAACGAGACTTCATTTCTTTGTGGCTCAACCACATATGTAAACAAGCAATCGTGTTTTTGTTTGGTTTGTAGTGAGAACTGAATTAATACACGTAAAAGGCTTAGAACATTTTCAGGCGCCCGGTAAGCAATTTCCAAAATACAAGCTAGTTTAAATGTGTTCATATTAAACCTAAGACTCTTTCCTGAATGACAAATCAGACATGATTTTGCCAATCCACGTTATCTTTCGCTTTAGTGAACTTAGAAGCCACTTTCTTTAATTTGCCAGAAAGGATTGTCTAAACACCGTACGCACAGGGAAAGCCAGGGTTCAGAATCAGGGTAGACATCTTCTCATTTCACACGGGGTAGAAAGGAGACGCAGCAATGCGACAAGCTTGCAGGAATGCAGGATCCCCAGGGCGCCAGACGCCCTGCGCGCATGCGCAGCTCGAGCTCCAGCGCGCTCCGACTGGCGCGTGACAGCCGTGCGCTCACCCCTCCCCCCAGTGCTGCCTCACTGCGCACGCGCGCCTTCCTCCAAGCTCCGCCCCGGCCTCACCCGCACGGGCACGTGCGCGTTCGCGCGGCGCTCCTTTCGGGGTAGGGGGGGTGGAGGGCGCGCGCCCTGGAAAATTCCACTCCCGCGCTAGCTCCGCCCAGTGAGCCTCCTTGGTCAACCCCGAGCGTCCTTCCAGCTGCCTGCATCCCGGCAGCCTTTGCGTGCGCAAAATGGCAGCCCCCATGCCTCGGGGGTTGTCCTATTTATTCAAGGCTGTGGGATGGTGGTCTCGTCAGGTGGGTAGAGATTCTAGGGCTGGAAGGACAGAATAGAAGGAGATTGCTCTGTGCAGGTGTCCGTGGCGCGATTGGGTGATTCGAGTCAGACCTTGATCGAATCTGAGTTTGGAGCAAATGGACTCCGCTACCTTGTGCTCAGTGGTGGATGGGAAGAGTTGGTGGGAATTTAGTGCAGTTTTGCTTGGATTTGTTTGGTGTGCAGGTATTAAAGGGAGAATTGCACGGTGGGCTTGCTTCTCTCAGATCCTGAAGAGATGACCTAAGTAGAACAGTGTTGAGACCCATATCACTGTGGCTACTTGAGCAAATTTCATCAACGGGAGAGAAGGATTCCCGTTTTTGCAAAGAGCTTATTGACCAGTTAGGAGCTGGAAAGACAAAATTGAATGTGCCGTGGGACTGCCCGCAGGTGTAACAGAATGTCACCCGAGTTCATGGGGAGCAGGTGCTGAGAAGATCTTAGGTTGAATGTCAGCCTTCAGCTGATTTCAGTATGGGGTTGGTAAGGAAGTTCCCATCATTCCGGAAGTTCTTTGAAAGCGGAAGTCTTGCTTTAATTTACTCTGCGACTTGAGAGTGAATTCTGTGCTTAGGAACATGCTAAAGGAATACCTTTAGTAAATGTTGAATGTTAATAAAGGTTATTAATTGTCTTCTTGTACTAAACACCTCTAGTTCTTAAGGGAGTGATGCATTTCGCCCATAACAAATAGACAATAATATTTCCGAAATATTGCTTGGATTTGTTCTTTCTGTAACGTTTTGTGTAAAATTTGTTCAAGGTGCTAGTTATGTGTGTTTTCAAGTTACCCATAACTTGTGGGCGTTGGTGGTTAAGTGGTGAGCATAGCTGCCTTCCAATACCTTCCATAACCTTACGCTTCCCACACCTTTCAGCCGGTCCTAGCGTCTCATCCGATAGTGGTAGTTCCAGTAAGGACTAAAAAACGTTTCACACCCCCTGCTTATGAACCCAAATTCAGAACAGAAAAGGAGTTTGCGGAACACGCCCGGAAAGCAGGACTGGTCATTCCTCCGGAACGTTTGGAGCGTCCCATACATTTGGCATGTACAGGTGAGATGTGCTGTTTTTGGGACCCCGAACCCAGGCCGTTGGTCAATAGCTTGGGCTGTGCTTGATAATATTCCGTTAACCAGATAAATCTCAGTTATGCTTCACCTTACAGGCATTCTTTTTTTAAATTGATTTTATTTTATTTGAACGGAAGATTTGCAGAAGCAGAGATAGATAAGGATTTCCATTTGCTGCTTCACTCCCCAAATGACTGCAATGGCTGGAGCTAAGCTGAACCCAGGAGCTTTTTTTTTTCTTTTTTTAAGAATCATGCATTTATTTATTTTTTTTAAAGATTTATTTTACCTTCATTACAAAGTCAGATATACAGAGAGACGGAGAGACAGAGAGGAAGATTTTCCATCCGAGTATTCACTCCCCAAGTAAGCACAATGGCCGGTTCTGTGCTGATCCAAAGCCAGGAGCCAGGAACTTCCTCCGGGTATCCCACACGGGTGCAGGGTCCCAAGGCACTGGGCCATCCTGGACTGCTCTCCCAGGCCACAAGCAGGGAGCTGAATGGGAAGTGGGGCTACTGGGATTAGAACCAGCGCCCATATGGGATCCCGGGGTGTTCAAGGCGAGGACTTTAGCTGTTAGGCCATGGCACGGGGCCCATAAAATAATTTATTTTTATTGGAAAAGCAGATTTACAGAGAGAAGGAGAGACTGAGAAAGATCTTCCATCTGCTGGTTCAATCTCCAAGTTTCTGCAATGGCCAGGAACAGGAGTTTCTTCTAGGTCTCCCATATGGGTGCAGGGTCCCAAGGCTTTGGGCCATTCTGTACTGTTCTCACGGGCCCCAAGCAGGGAGCTGGATGGGAAGTGGAGCTGCCAGGACATGAACTGGTACCCATATGGGATCCCAGCACGTTGCAAGGTGAGAATTTAACTACTGAGCCATCGTACTGGCCCTTCTTACAGATCTCCCAGACAGGTAGAGGGCCCCAAAGGAAGCACTGCTTCAGTGCTTTCCCAGGCCATAGATAGAGAGCTGGATCTGAAGTAGAGCAGCTGGGACACAAACCAGCATCCATGTGGGATGCCAGCACCACAGGATGGAGGATTAGCCTGTTGAGACACAGTGTCAACCCCATGCATTCTTTTTCAGAGGTCACCTGTGGGCTTGGTTTTACTCTGTTCCTAGAAGACAAGTAGGAATTTTGCACGAACTGAGGCTCTGTGATTACACTTACTGCTTTGTTTTGCTTTGAAACAAATTTTCCCTCAAAGTGGAAATCTTTCATTAGTCTAGTTGATATCAGGATCCTTGCTGGTTAATAGAAAAGTGACCTTTTTTCAGTTTTTTGACACTTTGTTTTCTGATTCTCTCATTACAGCTAATATCTTTGAGGCCTATGTGCCTCCCGAGGGTGATGCTCGCATGTCATCTCTTTCGAAGGAAGGACTAACCCAGAGAACGGAGCGACTGAAGAAGAATGTGGCATCACAGTTGTCGTAGGTGTCTGGAACAACCGGAAGTCAATATTAGAATAAAAATTACTTAGTTTTTGTTTTTTTATATATGTGAAAAGCAGAGTGATAAGGACAAGAGACCAACATGGCGCTGTGCCTATTATGTCACTGTCTCATATGGCCACTGCGCCAGGCTCCATTGATTCACTTTTTAAATATCTACAAATGACCAGGACTGGAGGAGCTTAAAGCAGGAAACTGGAAAGACCATTTGGGTCTGCCTGTTAGTGGCAGGAACTGAAGTTCTTGAATCGTTACCTGCTGGCTCCCAGGATGCACATTAGCAGTAAGCTAAGTAAGAAACAGAATAGGGACTCCAGCTTGGACACTCTCAATTTGGATATGGGCATCCCAAGTGATATCTTAACTACTGGGCCAAACTTTCACCCCAGAATAAAAATTTCTTGTTGCTACTTTATCCCTCCGAGGATACTTGGATTGATTGGCTTGAGTTTAACTCTCTTAGTAACTACACAGTATTTTCTTCTTTTGTGTTAGAGGCTGTGATTAAATGTGCAAAATAACATGAGCATTCTGATTACTAAGCAGCAGAGGATAGCCAAAGCCTCGGGACCCTTTACCTGTATGGGAGACCTGGAAGAAACTCTTGGCTCATGGCTTCGGATTGGCTTCAGCCGTTGCAGCCACTTGGGGAGTCAACCAGTGAATGGAAGATCTTTCTGTCTCTTCGCCTCTCTGTATTTCTTTCCAATAAAAATAAATAAATCCTTTAAAAAAATTTTTTAAAGCATATTTATAGGAGTATTTTTTAGTTTAAATTTCAGAAAATAAGAAAAGCCAAAAACGATCAAGAAAAGAGACCTGATCTTAGGGGAGCTAATTAGTCCTTGGATGAAGAGCAGAAGCCTGAGCCTTTTCTTTTTAAAGATTTATTTCCTTGAAAGTCATGGTGAAAGGGGATGAGGGAGTGGAGATATCTTCTATCTGCTGGCTGAAATGGCTGCAACAGATGGAGCCAGGAGCTTGTCCCAGACCTCCCATTAGTGTAACAGGGCCCAAACACTTGAGCCATCTTGCATTGCTTTCCCAGGCATATTAGCAGGGAGCTGGATCAAAAACGGAACAGCTGGGACATGAACTGGCACCCCTATGGGATGCTGGTGTAGGAAATGGCAGCTTCACTCACCATACAACAGTGCTGACCCTCATGAACCTTGTCTTGGTCTCTCTTTAGTTCAGTATTCTTCACCCAACCTCTGTCTAAATAATAGGGTTTTTTTTAATTATTATTTTCATAGGTTTATGTGTATAGATATATAGAGTCAGTGTTGATTCTTCAAATGGCCACAACTGTTTAAACACAGATCTCATCATGTTACCTTCCCTGCTTAGAACTTTTCTGCTGCTTCCTGTTACCCGAACAGTAAAATCCAGAGTCCTTCAGTGGTATGCAAGGCTTCTTATGATCTGCCCTTGACTTTGTTTTCCACCTTCATCTTTTGCCCCATAATCCATTGATGTCTTCCTGAAAGTCATGCGTGTCCAAACTGAACTGCCACTTCCTTGACACAGGTGTACGTCACTTCTGTGTCTTTGCACCCCCTCTCCTATCCTTTGCCTGATGATATTGCCAACTCATTGGTCAAGACCACCTCAGGATCCTGCCTGCTGACTTTCTGGGGTTACCCTTGCTCTAATACACACTGCACACTTATTACTTCTAATAACACTGTCCTGCAGTGATTTCCTCTCCCGTGTTTCTTTATTGCCTACACGGGTGCAGAGTCCTAAGGCTTTGGCCCATCCTCCACTGCTTTCCCAGGCAATAAACAGGAAGCTGGATGGGAAGTGGAGCACCCAGGACACAAACTGACTCCCGTATGGGATTCCAGCCAGCACTTGCAGACAGAGGGTTAGAGAGTTGAGTCGTTGCACTGAACCCCCTCCTCCTCACCCTCAATCCTTTGTGAAACCTATACCAGAATTCTGAATTTCACTTTGAGAAGGTTTGGGCTTTTTCTCAGAATGGCTGATTTAGGAGAGAGTGGGTTGCATTTACAAGACTTGACAAAGGGCCCGGCGCGGTAGCCTATATCTAAAGCCCTTGCCTTGCATTCACCTGCAGTCCTGCTTTCCATCTAGATCCCTGCTTGTGGCCTGGAAGAACAGTGAGGGATGGCCCAGGTCTCCGATATGGGTGCAGGGTCCTTGTTTTCTCTGTCTCTTCTCTGTATCTATCTGACTTATAATAAAAATAAAGAAATCTTTTAAAAAAAAAAGACACATTCAAGAAAAAAATTATTAAATATGCAGGCAGCTATTGTTTGAGATTCATGTAAGTCATAAGCAGTGGAAATTGTATGAAGACGTCTTTAGAACTGATTCTCGGCTTAATTTTGCAGAATCCGAAAGATAAAAGAATATGATGCTGATTTTAAAGTGAAGGACTTCCCGGAAAAAGCTAAGGATATCTTCATTGAAGCTCACCTTTGTCTGAACAAGTGAGTGAGTTGTCTGTCTCTTACCACCTGTTCTAAGTACCTTTTAATCTAGACAGGTTTTTGGTTTGCTTTTGGTTTTCTGTTTTGTTGTTGGTGTGTGTTTTAGATTTGTTCCTTAGCTTTTGGGTTAGAATTATAGAGAGAGAATTTCCTACAAGGGACATGATTAGTAACTGTACTTTTTTCTTGCTTTCTAGTTTTGTGCATTTCATTTTATTTGAAAGGCACAGAGACAGAGGTGTTCCAGCACTGACGGACTCCCCACATGTCTGTAAATCTCACAGGTGGCAGGGATCAAAGTACTTGAGGCATCAGCTGACCCACGCCAGAATGGTACATCAGCAGAAATAGAAACGGAAGCAGAGCGGGGGGCCTGGTGCGTTGGCTAATTTTCCACTTCTCAGTGCCACGTCCCATACGGGCGGCAGTTCGTGCGTGAGGTGTTCCACTTCCCAACCAGCTCCCTCTTTAAGGTCTGGGAAAGCAGTGGAGGATGAGCCAAAATCTTGGGACCTTACACCTACGTGGGAGACCCTGAGGAATCTCCCAGATCCTGGCTTTAGATTGGCTCAGTTCTGGCTATTGCAGCCGCTTGGAGAGTAAACCAGAGGATGGAGGATCTTTCTCCTCGCTGCACATCTGCCTTTCCAATGAAAATGACTCTTTCTTTTAAAGATTATTTTTTATTGAGAAGTCAGAATCACAGAGAGGAGGAAGAGACAGAGAGGAAGATCTTCCATCTGATGATTCACTCCCCAAGTGAGCGGCCGCAGCCACTGGAGCTGAGCCAATCTGAAGTTAGGAGCCCGGAGCTTCTTCTGGGTCTTCTATGTGGGTGCAGAGTCCCAAGGCTTTGGGCTATCCTCGACTGTTTTCCCAAGCCACAAGCAGGGAGCTGGATGTGAAGTGGGGCTGCCGAGATTAGAACCTGTGCCCATACGGGATCCCAGCACATTCAAGGTGAGGACTTTAGCCGCTAGGCTACCATACCAGGCCCAGTTCTGTACTTTTGACCTAGCTTCTCGGTACAATCCCTGAGTCAATGATGGCCCCAATATTTGTTTCTTGTCTTTTGGGTTTTTTTGGCTTTTTTTTTTTTTTTTACAATCTTTACTTAGTTAATTAGGGCACAAAGGTTCAAGGGCTACAGGAAAGTGGATAAGATTATCATTTCCACATTTTTTTTTTTCTATATCTGGAGTAATGGGGGAGGTAAAGGGAGAAGCCCCACGCAGTCTCCCACCCATCCCAGGTCCCTGATGTGGGGCATGCTCCAAGGGTCTTGCTCAAGTGGTTTTGATAGTTCAACAGTTATGGATTGCTGTCAATCTCGCCATTCCAAGCACGATGAGGTCACTGCAGAATCCACTGATTGACATAGTCCACCTTAGAGTCTCTGTCCTGTTTTTCACTGCCAACATATGGCTGGGGTAGTTGATTGATTTGTTTTGTCCTCTGTCTTTTCATGGTTAGGGATCTGAGTCTGGCAGTTCGATTGGGGAGATCCCCAAAGAAACTTTGAGGTGAACCTAGACCTGATTCTTGTGTGTGCTTGCAAGTACAGGGGCCGGTACAGTCCTTTGCCCCAATCAGCTGGTGGTTACAGTTGCTGGGTCAGTTCTCTTTCCAGCCCTGTCTTCCATACGAACCAGTGGGTGTTGCAGTCCAGCCTGATCCTGACCATTTCACACTCAGCCCTCATGCAAACCAGTGGGAGCTACAGCCTAGTCAGAGCAACCCACAATAACCCCCACCAGGTTCCTGTGCTTGCCAGTATGTGCATCAGACTAGTCCAGTCTGTCCCACATCCCATACAGCTCTCATACATGTCAATGGGCATTGAAGCCTCGTTCAACCCAACCAGCTCCACTATCCAGACCACATGCATGCTGTTAAGTGCCATTCTGTCTAGCGACCCCTGCCCTATCCTGGTTTTCGTGCCCTCCTGTGGGAGTGGTAACCCAAGAGGGAGGAACCCACTATTTCCCTTCTAGGCCACTCCCACTCCCGGATCATGCACTCTCCAGGTGGTTCTGCAGTTTAACTTGACAGAATTAGCCTCCAATGCCAGCTTCTGTCAGCTGATGCTGTGGCAAAGCCCAACCAACCCTCACCCACTCTGATTTATGCTTGCAGCAGTAGGAACAGTCAACCCAGCCTGGCTTTTCCCTGATCTAGCACACATGAGGTGCCTTGGAACTCATTCCTTAGCTGCCCTGAGGTTAGAGAGCAATGGGACAAAGTACCAAACTGCCTGTAAATGTTCAAATTGTGAGAAAAGTCATGCATGGGTATCTAAAAAAAAGTAACCTGTAGTCTTGGGTTTTTTGGGGGCCCCTCTGCTAAATCCCCCGTAACATTTTTTTTTCTTTGAAGATTTATTTATTTATTTGAAAGGCAGAGTTACAAAGGGGGGAACACACAGAGAAAGAGGTTTGTCATTGCTCATTGTCTCCCCAAATGGCTGCACTGGCTGGAGCTGGGCTGGTCTGAAGCCAGGAGCCTGGAGATACTTTTGGGTTTCCCACGTGGGTCTCTCACGTGGTGCAGGGGTCCAAGCACTTGGGCCATCTTGTCTGCTTTCTCAGGCCATTAGCAGGGAGCTGTATTAGAAGTGGAACAGCAGGAAGTTGTACTGACACCCATGTGGGATGATGCCACAGTACTACCTCCCTGCCTTCATCTTCTGTCCCCAGCAGCAGGGGGCTGCCATCAGTCAGGAGCATAGAGCCAGCATAACTAGGCCACTCTGACTGTAACAATGAAGGAGGGAAAAGCAGACTGTTATCTTTGGAGAGTGTAGATACAAAGCCACACAAATTGGTCCTGAGGACATGAGATAAGCTTCTGATTGTGCTTTGTGTTGGACTTTATTCTCCATATCATCTTAGATTAGTCGCCCTGTCCCAGGAAAGTTTCTCTCTCTCTCTTTTTTAAGGATCTATTCATGTGTGAGGCAGAATTACAGACAGACAATTTCCATCTACTGGTTTACTCCCCAGATGACCACAGCGGCCAGGACTGTGCTGGGCCAGGCCAAAGTCAGGAGCCAGGACGTCACCTGAATCTCCCACGTGGGTTCAGGGGCCCAAATACTTAGGCCAAATTCTGCAGCTTTCCCAGGCACATCAGCAGGGTGCCGGATTGGGAGTGGAGTGGCCAGGACTTGAACCAGTGCCCACTTGAATGCTGGCATTGGAAAGCAATGAGCTAACGTGGTGCGCCACAACACCAGCCTCCAGGAAAGGTGTCTTGACTGTCCTGAGGATGAAGAGTAATGCTAGACAAGTTATTTTTCTACCTCTGAAATTCAAACATAATTTTACTGTGTTTTTAGAGCTCAGTTTTCTGGTGAATCACATTGCATCTTTTGCGTCTCCTGAGCTTCATATAGTACCTGGCTTACCTTAGGTGTGCAGAAAATGTTTCAAAAATGAATCCGTTTCCCATTTTCTGGAACATTTCCAACTCACAAGATGTCATGAAAGCAAGAGCCGGTGATCTGTGTCTCTTTCTTTTCCAGCTCAGACCACGACCGCCTTCACACCTTGGTCACTGAACATTGTTTCCCGGTAGGTTCTCATCCTGCTTAGAACCAGCGGGGCAGCTGAGTGGGCCACTCCTACATACAGTCGCTAGGTTCGCCTAAAAAGGGTGTGTTTTTCAAAGTGCAGCGAATCGAAGGCACAAGCTTCAGGTCCATTTGTAGCTGAGAATGATCTGGGACTGGCCCTCACAGAGACCACGGCACATGAGGATGGAGGAAGTGCACGCGCAGGTGGCTCCGGAGATCAGGATGGGGGCTTCCCTGGGCTGCACCTGTGATGTTAGCATGAGCTTGTGAGGCTTCTGTTGCGTGACAGTGACAGGTGCGAGGGATTTCAGGGACTCCCAAGAATGGGCAGGGACTTGAATTTCCATTATCAGTTGAGTTTCTAACAAGAGAACTTTAGTTTCTGTCGATCTCACCAGAGACAAGTAGAGAAAATCTAGTGTGAGCAGTTTATCCTCTGTAACCTCACAAAATGCCCACCTTTTCCCGCTAAAAGGCGAGGTGGACGGGAGAAAGGAAATAATCAGGCAGCTAACCCGCTGGCCGACATGGGCAGATTGTCAAAGTGCACAGGGGACATGAGGTTTGTGGAGAAGGCTGGCAGTTTAAAATGTGGTTTTCATTGATTTAGAGAAAGATCCTTAAAGAAGTAAATGGAGTTCAAGCTGTGATCGAGATGAAAAGAGCACTGGGAAATGAGCTTAAATGGTAGTTCCAGAGAGCATTTGGTCTGGTCAACGCGGGCAGCTTTTTTGCTGCGTTTGCCTGTTGACTACAGTGCTGTAGGGAGTCCAAGCAGCTGCCGTAGCAGCAGCTTCCCTCCGGGGGCGGATACCCCGTTGAACCTGTTCTTCTCTGCCCACAGGACATGGTCTGGGACCTCAAATGTAAGACTGTCCGCTGGCGCTTCGTGGAATCTTTAGAGCCACCTCAGGTGGTTCAGGTTCGCTGTTCCAGCTTATTGAACCAGGGCAACATGTACGGCCAGGTCACCGTGCGCATGCACTCCCGGCAGGTGCGGCACTTTGCTTTCCTCTCCGGCTGCGCGTCCGCCTCTGGAGTACGTGGTGTAGCTGCTCAGGACCGTGGGACAGCACGCTGTGCCTTTCCTCATGTTGTGCCCTCTGCTGCCAGTGTGTGAGCACATTCTGTCCCACACATCCTGGTCTGGACTTCTCCCTCCCCACTCCTGTCCAAGAGCTTCTAAAAGTAAAGTGAGGGCAGGTGATCCGTTAGGCCTACATTCAGAATTCTGAGATAATCATTTTCTACTCAGTACAGTTTTCAGTTATGATTGTCTCCAAAGTGGTTGTGTAGCAGAAATCAAAAAAAGCTACCCACATTGGCCAGCACAGTGGCTCAATAAGCTATTCCTTCACCTCCAAGCGCCAGCATCCCATACCAGTGCTAGCTTGTGTTTTGGCTGCTCCACTTCATATCCAGCTCTCTGTTTATGGCCTGGGGAAAGCAGAGGAAGATGGCCCAAAGCCTTGGGACCCTGCACCTGCATGGGAGACCTGGAAGAGGCTCCTGGGTTTAGATTGGCTCAGCACTAGCCATTGTGGCCGAACCAGCGGTAGGAAGATATTTTCTGTCTCTCCCTCTCTGTAAATCTGCTTTTCCAATAAAAATACATAAACTTTTAAATTAAACAACCAAAAAACAAAAACAAAAAACAGCTGCCTACAAAGATTATCAGACCAGCTTTGTTCTCACCCTTGCAGGCCCTGGCTATTTATGACCGCTTTGGTCGGTTGATGTATGGAGAGGAAGACGTTCCCAAGGACGTCCTGGAATATGTTGTATTTGAGAAGCATCTGGCAAACCCCTATGGGAGCTGGAGAATGCATGGCAAGATTGTTCCCACATGGGCGCCTCCAAAACAGCCCATCATTAAGGTAAGGCAGCTCATGGTGCTCTAGAACAGCTGAAGCCATGCAGGTGGCATCCTAAATCCCTCCTGCTGGGCTCCATCTAGTGGAGAGAGGGGGTATTGCAACTCCGGGGGACAGCCATGTTGTTGATGGTGGATGTGCAGAGGCCAGGATGAAGCTCTTTGGCTGGGTGGATGGGTAACACGGCCTCCTGCTCTTTCAGACGGTGATGATCCCTGGCCCTGAGCTGAAGCCGGGGGAGAACTATGAAGAGGCACGAGGAGGGCCGTGAGTGTCAGCTAGCCTGATGGCAAGGAGGACTCCTACGGTGGAGCATGGCTGATGAAGCTGCTGGACAGTGGGCAGTCATCCAGGCCATCTAGGTTGCCACCCATCCTGCTTGCTTCACAGCAGCCTTATCCTCAGCAGGCATGGCCGAGACTGGGGTGAGGTGGGTGGCTGGGACACGGAGGCACGGCCCATTTCCGGCACTGTACCTGCCAGTTCTTCCTGCAGCAGGGACCATGGGAGGAAACCAGCAGCAATCTCTTTCTAATCACAGGACAGGGAGAAGTTTGAAATAAAACCATTTGTATCAAACAAATGTTGACGGATTCTCTACATCTCCCCTGGTTCAGACAGGTGGTAGACCAGCCTTCTGATGGTTCCTGTGTGTGATGTGACGTGCAGGAAGTCCAAACTCGGGAGGAGGAATAGTTAGCATTAGCATGTATAAGATAGGGTCTACCTGAGAGGGTCTGTTCTCATACACTCATACATTCTCCCTGGATCAGGTAGAAGAATATAATTCCAAAAAAGTCATTTGCCACTTGGCTTTTGTGTGTTGCTAGTGGTGTGGCCCCAGCAGGTGTGTGGGGAGGGAGGCAGGGCTGTGGAGTGGCCGCTCACGTTTCCAAGACAAGGCTCCCTGCTTCTAAGCTTGGCCGTCAATACCCACCTTCTCATCGGTAGGCCTCTCTTCAAAAACAAGGCCTCTATTCTCACACTTTCTCGTTTTCAAACCCAGACTTTTCTGTTAAGGAATCTGCCACTTAATCTGTCCTGACCTTGTTTCCAGAGTAGAATCCAAAAGACCTGGAATCGGGTCAAGAATAAATAATTCGACTCTTTGTTCGCCCAGTAGCTACACCTTAGCTAAGCAGCGAGTGACCCAGGGCTGCACAGGACAGCTGGGGGTTTCGACAGCTGCTGCAGAGTGCTGACCGTTGCAACAAAGATGGATGTGCAGCTACCCTTATCATGCTACTTAGCCTCAACCCTTTTGGCTTAAAGTGTACATCAGTTCGTGGCATTACTGCCCAAATGCATTTTGGTTATATCCTATTTGCCTGAGCCCTGGATTAAGGCCAAATAAGAGAAGTGCTTTGAACAGAGTCCGTAGCTGGGGAGTGTGGAGGAAGGGAAGGTAATCCTGGAGGGTTAGGGAAGCAGAGAAACAAAGAAGACCCTTAGTGGGCAAACGTTGCATTGACTTCTCTGAACATACAAAACAGTGTTTCAGATACACTGTTCCATTCCTCTGTCCTGGATATGTCTTGGGGCCCCAGGTAATCCTAAGTAGTCCCAAAGCTGCCAGCAATTATTGTGCAATTTTCATTTTCCCTTGGGAACAAATCCAGCTGAGCAGATCGCTCCAGATGTGAAGGGCTGGCTGGGAGGACCAGCCAGAGACCGTCTGCAGTCTAAGCCACAGTCTGGGCACCGGCGGACATTTACCAGATCAGCGGATGTCCTGAAGCCTGCAGCATTGCTACTTGGGGCTTGGGGGCAGGCATTCTTCTTTCCTTGTCTATGTGCTGTTACCATTTATACATGTTGCAAGAAGAAAAACCGCTATTATAAAGAAGCTAGAGCCAACAGCAGTGGTCAAGCAAAAGCACTCTCTATATTTTTTTTTTCCTCCTAGCAGTTTATTCCATGACAGTCAGGGTGGGGAAAACTTGCTGTTCCTTATTAGACCACATGCTCTGGGATTGCTCTGGGATGCATCATTAGCCAAATCCTCACTGGCCTGAGGCTGCAGGCTGAGTAACCAGAGTCTAGCGGTGGAATAGCACACTTCCTGCTGCTCTGGAGGGCTGGGGCAGGAAGCGGGTCAGTGGGAGGGCCCAGGTGTGGGACCCAGGGCACCTGGTCCCCGGAGATTGAGTTATCCCATCCCTCTGCTCCTTTCTGCAAGTGGGTCACTTTGCTACTTTTTCCATGAAGTCCTCTGACTACTCAGTGTTTACACAGACTCAGTGTTTTCCCAGTGGGTCTTTGGTCTCCTTGTTGGTATTTCTTCTCTCTGCATGAATGGCATCAACATGTGAACTGTTCGAGTGGATCTTACTGCTTTCTCAAGTATGCCTGCCCAGCTCTGCCACGTGGGGCCCCACCTCACCTCTGCCAGCACTAGGACTTCTCTGTATATTTTTCTGCTTTCTTATTTCCCTCTGACATTATCTAATTCAAGCCCTCTGATCCAGCTCTACCCAAGCAAGAAAGATTAAGTGACTGTTAGAACCACGCCAAGACAGACCTTCCTGAGAGAGGAGGATTTGCATTTCTGTGCTACCCTTTTCCCCACCGCACTCTCACTGCCCCAAGCACACAGCCTTTTCTGAAGGCCAGCTATCGCGAGGCCCGCCTTGCTTACTTGGGTTTCCATGGGAAGGAGACCTGTATGGCCTCCTGTTACTAAGCAGGTGATTGGCAGTGGCCTCACATCAGAACCTGAGACTCTGGCTCCAGTTACATCGAGCCAGCCCTGAAAGGCCAGGAGGCAGAATATGAGCCAGTGAAGTGAGCATTGGAGGCTGGCAAGAGCTCGGGCGGGGAAGGGGTGGGGAAAGCTGGGGATATGTAAGGGCAGACCTCCACCGGAGGGGAGTGTCCTCTCTCCCTGGTGTTGCTTTAGATGCCAGCTGTTGACCCAGATACCGCTGATGGCCTCTACTTCAGCCATAAAACAGGGCAGGTGCAAGATCAGTGAAACCGAAGGGGGTGACTTCAAGCCAAAATGACAAGGTCCTCAAGGCATTTTAGGCACCTGTTTTGAGTCCTTTTCCTTTCTCCCCCCAGTATGTCTTTCAACTTGAATTAAGTGGCTTCTTACTGTTTGTTGTGGTGACCTTCGTAGCCTTCTGTGCCCGCGGTCCTTGTGTTGCCAGTGCCTTGTTGAATTCTGGCATGAAAAACCATCCACTCTGGAGAAGAACTGGGTTTCTGTATTTTTGATAAAACGTAGCCTGGATGCTGCTAATGTTGGCTCCACATGTAGATGCCCAGACAACAGTGCTTGTACTGAGGACTCTCGTGGGATGGGGATTCTGCAGAAGCAGGGGGCCCATCTTCATCTGAGAGAGGATGACAGTGCCTGCTGGGGTCTGGGCCGTACCCTGCTGGAACACCTTGTTGTCTGAAGGAGTTGGCTTTCTGGCCTGCCCAGGAGGGGAAGTGAGTGAGTGTCTTGATTCTACCTCTTGGAACCACTAGGATGAGGGAAGCACCTGGACTCCTGCCAGCCAGCTCTGTGTACTACTCCTCATCCCAAGGATAGACCCTTGCAGGGGCGAGGTCCTCACTGTCCACGTCGGCAGCCACCTGTCCTTCATCTTCACTTAAGGAGATGGATTTCCGAGGTTCAACTTCTTGAAGATGTGGCTCGGGAACCAAGCCGATCCTTGGCCCAAGCCCTGATGGCCCTTGTGTTTCTTTGATACCTTCTAGAATGGAAGTACTGGCTGGCTTGTTCACCTGGGGCCACGGGCTCTTGCTTTCTGGAAGGAAGCTACGCAGGGGTTCATGGACTGAAAGGCATAGTGACTGCTCGGAGACTGGGGGGGAATTCTCAGTCTGAGTTGGTGTTAAAGCCAGATGGCCAGTTTCCTCCCAGGGACAGATGTCTGCCATGGTGCCCTTGATTTTGTTCCCATCAGGATCAGTGACTTCCCACCGACACAGCTCTGCCATCCTACTGCCCACACTGCCTGCTGCCTGGGGGCTGACTTGGACCTGAACAGGGTCTAGAACCTCCGGCTGGGGGAGGATCCCCCTTGCTGTACTGTCTTCCCAAGGACACACTGCCTCCTGCTCTCCGCCAAGTTCGGGTGCCACCTGCTGAAAGGGCAGCCTTTGTCCAGGTGTGTCTCCATCCCCCTCCTTGGCTGTGCCAAGCTCTCCTTCCTTGGCTGCTCCCTCTCTCGCCTCCCAAGGGCAGATCTCAGCTCTCTTGGCACAGGATGGCTCTTCTGTTTCCCATGGACACACTTCTGCTGCCCTGACTCCCACGCTGCCTGCTGCCTCAGAACCTCCGTGGCTTCCGTCTGAAGCAAGTGGGCCTGACTGTAGGGAGAGACCTGTACGACATGGACTCTCCTGGGGACGCACGGCTCCCTGCTGCCCCGAGTTTGCCATCCCTAGCTTTGACTGAACTTCCATACCTTGGGGCTCTGGCTTTTCTGCTGCTTTCCCCTTCTCTTGAGAACACCTTGGTCCATCCTGGGTTGGTAGTGTTCTCTTAGGGAGCGTTTCAGCCCCCTCCCAGGGACAGATCTCAGCCTTGGCACAGAGGTCAGCAACACAGGGGGTGTCCAGCTCAGGTGCCTCCCATGGACATATGTCAGTGGCCCTGTCCCTAGCTCTGGCCAGTCTCTGGTCAGGACCAACTAGGAGCGGAGGAGACACAGACTGTAGCACAGTGCTGCTTCTTTCCCTACCTTCAGGAGTGAGAGCTGTTGACTGGGTTCTGTGTTCCTGGAGGTGGTGTGTCTTCGGGTCTTGTCTCAGGTCCCTGTTTTCGGTGGCCTCACAACTCACTTCCAGGGAGTGCCCCTCTGCCACCTGGCTACCCTTTCGGCTGTATGGGTCTGAGACTTTGGCCTGAGAAGATGCTTCCTTCGGGGTCTTGTCCTCCCAAGGACAAATCGCTTCCTGCTCGTGACTCCATTTTGCCTCTGGTTTCGATTCGCCTTTCCCCAGGGAGGTGAATCTAAAGTCTTCTAGAGTTTTCTCCCTCTGCCCTGCTGAGTCACTCTCCTTCTTTTGTTCCAGTTCCTTCCCAGTGGCTCCTTCATTCACCTCCCAGGGGCAGATCTTGGCTTTTTCACTGGTCGGAGTCTCCTCTACTTCCCAAGGGCACACCTCTGCAGGCCTGCACCCAACGTGATCAGAAGCCTGAAACCCAACCTTTGGTCTGTCAGTGTCCAGAGAGTCTGCATGCTGACCCCCTGGACCCAAGCTCTCCCAGGGACAGGCCACCTCGCGGCCAGTTGGCTCTGGCTTCTTTGGAACTGTAACAACACTCTCCCTGGATCTGGAATCTTCAGGAGTCTCTCCACTATCAGTGGGAGACTTCCTGGTGGCCTCCATTCCCTGAGTGCTCTCCTCGCTGGCTGCAGCCCCTGTGGCCTCCCAGGGACAGCTCTCTGCCCTTGCAGCAGCCGGGGTACCCTGCACATCCCACGGGCAGATCTCAGCAGCTTTGCTTCTCACGCTGCTTGATGCCTGGAAAACGACTTGTGTTCTGTCTGAATCTGGAGGGCCCAGCTGTGGGCCACAGCTGCTGGAGTCCACACCTTCCCAGGGACACACTGCCT